TTATTTGTAATCTGTACGTTTGGTGAAGTAGTTCCTTCCACAACAGTGCTGGAATACATTTGATACATTTTACAGTTCCAGGAGAATATGGCGAGTAATCAGCAGGATGTAATACAGGAACAGGAAGACATCATAAGTTCTCTCTTACAAAGGCTGGAAAGCTCTGGCTTTAGCAACGTGAATGACGAATCTGCTGACCGATCTTGATAACTCCTTACATGGAGGAAGTGATGTATTTCGGAATCATTTGGTTGATGATGGTCCTGTTAAATACACATGAATGTTTGTGTTTTCAAACAGATTATTTTCCTTTATTCTCCTTGTGTGTGAAGGCACCAGGTTGTCCGAAATACATACTTTTCAGAATGCAATGATCAAATATGATGCTCATATCAATTTAATGTCTTGTTGATTATTTATTTATTAAATAAATTTGTGTTATTTTGTTTGTAGAAATTTCTTATATTTTACAATATAATGATAAAACCATGTTTTGATCAAATGCATAATGGCAGCCTCCTTATTGGCTCTACAACCCAGTGGGCGTCTTCTTCGCCTCCTTTGGAAGGTTTCTTAGTCTTTTGAAGTATGCATTTGTGAGTTGTGAGTGTGACCAACTATTTATTGTGTGGTTAAATTCTGTACTGCAAAATTCAAGACCTACAAATATTCTGACCAGCTACATTTTTAGACGCCACTAAGAAATACATGACTACTCGACGCTCGCATGATACTCATGAGGAACTGCATCTTGCATAATTTTGTAAAGGTAATTTACATATTATGACAACGGGCACAGACAGACTTGAGATTTGATGGTTATTTGAAGACGTCTAATCATACAAATGTTGTATAATTAAATCACTATTTCCTTTGAGTTATTCAAACATGATATAACTCGAACATCATATTCCTTTCAAAATTACGTATTAACAGTGGAATATAACCAGGATTTAGTGGCGCAGTGCTCAGAACGTAAAAAGCAAAATATTTGTCCGTTGCAACATTACAGGCCGTACATTAGGTGTCAGAAAGGGTGGTTCATAAATTTAAAGGGAAATGTTTCCAATTATTATAAACATGTACATTAGGGTTAGATATTCATTGGTTTAAAGTATCACTTTTATCCGATTATTATTATAAATGTTACAGGCAGAATTAATGTGTTGTCATATTTCGCGTTCAAATGACCCTGTGCAGGGACCAGTAGCTTCGCTGAGAACTTGTAATTCGTCATTCCGTGTAGCCTACAGTAACCACCAACTTCTATAAATAGTGTTTAAAAATAACTTTCTTCATCGTTGAAACAGGAGCTCAGATCGCAGCTGTGACATTGCAAGAGGCAGACGTTGGA